TCATTCGGTTTTTATTTTTTGGTGTTGCAGGTACAGTCCATCGATCTGCACAAAGAACGTTAAAGTGTACAAAGAATGAAAAATAAAAATATTTTAAAATAAATAATTAAATAAATGTGCAGGCTGGCGCAACAACAACTGCAATATTTAATTGAAAAAGAAAAACAAGTTTTTTTTTTTAGGTTTATTGGTATCAAGTGCAAATAGTAACCAGCTCGATTTTGTACAAACGTGTTTTAGAATCTTACGAAGAAAATGAAAATGCGTAGAATCGCAAAAGAGAGATACATTACATATTATTAAAATTACGGGTCAAGAATAACTTCCTACCGTATAAGTACATGTATCGCCCTCGCGACTTGCCTGCACGCACACACACACACACACACACATGCAAAGATTATAGTAGAAAGCCTTGCTGAGTACTAGTAGCTAACGTAAGAGTCTTGCTATCGACGGATATCCATCCATCCATCCATCCATCCATCCATCCATCCATCTGATGCAACTAACGTCGAGGAAGAAAGAAGAAAAGAGAAAAGATTTACGAGCTCGATGTCGTTAATCGAAATAGAAACGTCATTGCGGTTTTCCCTAAATAAAATGAAAGAAAAGCATCGTAGATCTCTATTACAAGCCTAACAAAGTCAACGAGAAAGAGCTTACTTGCGTGCACGCTTATGATTTTGGATTTGGTTCACCCAAATATAGCCGCTAGACAAACACGAGTTTATACCGTGTAGAACGTCTCGTTGACGTTCGAATAGGGGGATGTTTAGCAACGAGGGATGATTCAAAGACTCCGCCACCAATCTGTTTCCCCTCTCGTTAAGCCGCGAGCTGTCCATTCAAGCGGACGCCATTTCTCTCTCTCTCTCTCTCCCTCTCTCTCTCTCGCTTTACCTTACGAACACTGCTTCGTTCGTAAATTATTGAAATAAACTGCGTTTTAACCGATGATATCTAATGCCTCAAAGTAAACGAAACTTTTATTGGAAAATAAGCAACGTATTATTTGAAAAAGTTCTCTCTGCTTAGATTCAATATTGTTGACCATTGAGACTTCAAGGCTATATAGGTTGTAAAAATTCAAGGCTAAAATAGTTTGGGAGAACACGATGTTCCACAGCTGGGCAAGAAATAGAAAGAGAAGACAATTGTGTACGTGCATTGGTAGTAGAAGAAAAGACGAAAAGGGCCTCCAAGGTTCATTGTCCAACGGGTCCTATGGAAAAGCAAGAAGCAAGAAGCAAGAAGCAAGAAAAAAAGAAAACGAGAGAGGGAGAAAAAGTGAAAGCGACGAAGTAGACAAATTTACGGATCATCTTAAAATACGTATTCGAATATCTTCCAATTTTTCCGAGAAATGAATGTTGAAACATGTGGGAGAGATAGAGCAAAATAGGAATGGTAAAAATCGAGGAAGGAAAAAAAAAGTGAGCTGAGAAATACAAGACGTAGTAAATAAGGGCAAATGTATATAGTATACTATAGTTCGTAGAGAGAGAAAAAGAAGAAAATCCTTCGAATAGAAGAAGAATGTGATTTGAGGGTAGGGGGGGGGATCGGAGGGAAAGGAAAAAAGGAAATATTCGGCTAGAAGGGTCGCTTCCTACTAAAAGAGGAAGAGAGAGGGGGGGAGAGAGAGAGAGAGAGAGGGTGAGAAAGGGGAAAAGAGTGGTGAGAGATTGGCTCGGCGATGGGAAGAAACCTTTCACTAGTAGTAGAAAGCGTTGGGGGTGCAGGTTCGAGCTTGGGCTTAAGTTCGTTCAAGAAGGGCACGAGCTAGGGGGGAAAGGACGAGTCAGTTTGAAAAAGGGAGAGGGAAAAGAGAGAAAAGAAACATTTATCCATGTAGAAGAGCTGTATATATACGAGTATACACACACACACACACACACATACACGCGTGCACATCTAAATAGAAAGAGAAGAAAATAGGAAGGAAGAAGTAAAAAGAAGACAGAGATAGATAGATAGATAGATAGAAAGATAGATAGATAGAGGTTACAACTCGGTCTCTGCTCTAGAGACGATCGTAGAACACAGCAGCAAAGCTAAAAGCAACGTTGCCAATAATTCGAGTTACCTATTCACACACACACACACACACACACACACACAAATACTATTTTTATTATGCTACTCGTGTTTGCACTCTTCTAATAGACGATCATTTACAGATTTCAATTGATTCGTACAATTTGTTTTTACAACATCGTTAATTCGATTTTAATAGTATGTCGGATAATATGAGAATTACTTTACCGACCAAGCAATTCATTTCCAGGCGACGACTACTAGGGTGTTTATTGATGCACCTTATCTAATCGCCATTTTAACCCTAGATATTATCGAAAGAGTAATAATCCCTGATTATTGCCTTCCTTTATGAAATGAATCGCATGTTCTGCGTTAAGAAAATAGTTTAAGGCTTTTAAGGCTTTTTTTTTCGTGGACCGGCATTTGTACGTTCGTTTAAATATATATATATACATAGAATTGCGAGTAGCCGTGAAGAGGCACGACACTGTAAAATAAGGACGCGCATGCATCCACCTTTCTACTCGTGGTACCGCAAAGAAACGGTGACCCGCGGTGTCCGGCTGCGTGCACATTCCAGCTTGTTAGCTTTGACTCCTCGCTCCGGTTTCTTTCCCCGAAGATGTCGATTCACTCGGAGCTACTCGAAAATAATACCGTCTTAATTTACCAGAACCACTGGCCGTTTGAAACTTATAGAGTATGCGGGCATTGTCCCGCGACGAGTTGCCGGTTAACGTTCGCGGTCAATTGCACTAATTTCTACGACTACAACTACAACTACGATATTAACAACGTACTCGTATATACTACATATGTTCATCGTGTTTCCCTATGACTGACCAGTTACATACTTCTTACCAATTACATATCTTTTAGAATGTAGGGATAAGCAGATTTCGATGGAAAGGATCAATGCCTCGTGCACATAGATCTTTCAACCCGTTCCGGTTCCTCGATTGTCCGGATTCGATCGGATCAATGATCTCTGCCAAGTCACGTGTGTTCGAAAATCATTTACCGGTATAGTACGGGATGCCGTGAGAAAAATACTTAGAGATGTGCTATACGATGATCCAGCAACTTAAAATCAACGCTCTTTTCATATTTCATTACGCAGATCATTCAATTTTTACAGGTTTCTTCCGATCCAACGTGGAAACATTTGCTGCAATTATATTGTAATTATTAAGTAAATATATTTATATAGATAAATAAAACTTGTAAATTATTTTCCCTGTTAGACACATATATAGGCAGAGTTGAAAACTCATGTGAGAGTATAGAAATACTCATTCTAATCATAGGAAATTCCTTAAACAGAGACCACGTGAAGAGAGTGATAGAAAGAGAGAGAGAGAGAGAGAGAGAGAGAGAGGGAGAGGCAAGACAAGGGTGGAAAGGGGAGAAAGGGTGGTCTCCCAAAAATTTCACCAAGGAGTTAAGACTGTCGACTACGAGGACGTCGACGACGGGACTGGCTATAAATATCAACCCCTCCACACCATCTTTTCTCTTTCTCTCTATCTCTCTCTTTACTCTACAATATGTATTTAAAATAGCTGCATGCTGCAAAATAACTGAAATAGCCGTGAAGGGTCGATGATCCCCGGTTGCTCCTACTTCCTGGAAGAGTTTACGGATTTTCGTCGTCGTCGTTGTCGTCGTCGTCGTCGTCGTCGTCGTCTCGAAGATGAACCGACGAGAAGAAGAAGAAGAAGAAGAAAGATAAGAAAGATACGCGACGACTGAGGAACGACAACGACTTGTCGGCACCGTGCACAGCGTTCCTTTGACACTGTGTATTCGTTGCCTTACCGTTCCACTTTGCTTCTAGGCAAAAAAGAACTTGAGGAGAGGGTGTGCATGAGGTTGAGGTGAGAGGCTCGTTCACGGAAGACGGAAGTGTACGATCTGTTAACTAACCTTTTTTTTTCTCTCTTCAATCATCCCTATCTCAAGTATATATCCTCTTATGTGGTGCATAATTATTAGCATTTATTATTCCTGTAACATTCTCACAGTTATAATAGTTCCTCAATATAATTCATATCGATAATGAATAGAGTAGTAGGGGCCTAACGGTGAAAAACATGAATTTCTTTCACCTCATTATTTCCTAACTTACAAAAGCTTTCCCTGGTCTCTATGTGTTCTATGTAAAATACTGAAAAGTTAACTACGATCGGTACGAATGATTTCCTTTCCGTGAAAGCGAGTCTCTGTGATTGTTACAACGTAACACTCGGCTCGATGTACGAGTCACTTTTACGAGTTTCTACACCGGGTCGGGCGTTAGCTGGATCGTGCGGACGCGTTATCTTAATGAAACGCAATGAAATTGGTTTCGTCTTGAGGAATGAGAAAGAAGAGGAGTGGAGAGAGTCGTACAAAGGCGCACGCGCGCACGCGCGCACAAGCGTTAACGATCCTTTGTTCGATGTCCGTTTTGACGCGTGCGCGAGCGCGAATGCGAACGCGTCTACGGAGAATCTTCTTACATTTTCTAACAAGAGAGAGAGAGAGAGAGAGAGAGAGAGAGAGACATTTGTCGATGTAATGTTAATTATAATAAAATACAAAATATTTTTCTTTGATTGTTGTTGGAGTTTGTTTATTTCTATAACGCCTAGAGAGCCTATTTTGATTTGTGCAATGAGCGCGCGCGCCTGCTGCACTGACGGCACACGCGCGCCAGCGAACGGCAGCGCGAGTAGCAGCGTTAGCCTTGACATTGGTCACGTTGTATTTACTTTGTGGAAGGTTGCCGGAGGATTAATATACGTGCAAGCCATTCGTAGCTCGTGCGCTACGCTTTATTACGAACGCGATATCATGGCGCGTCCCAATGCGTCGTTAAACAATTTTCATTTGCGATTAAAACTAAAAGTAAAACAAGTACAGATAAATATGTATGCCATAAATGGGGATACGAAAGATAAAAATAATCTTAAGAATTCGTAGAAATAAGCTTTTATTTCTGTTAAGATTATCTATTGCGATAATATTTATCTTAAAATATGTATTGTTTCCTTAATTATAGGAATAATCACATAACGTAATTCTAACAACATGGCGGTCACAATATACAATAAATCCTTGATATTAATCCTTGATATTAAAAAAAAAAAACAGAGAAAAAAACAAAACCACATAAAGGCATTCGATTCATCCATCCAGGCAGTTTGTTTTCCTGATTTTTCACGGACTTATCCAAAGATGTTAACCGAATTGAAAGAAATCACAGTGGAATCAAATGCAAAAGAAAGAGAGAGAGAGAGAGAGAGAACGAGCCCATCCATTTCGTTTTAACCATCCTCTTCCTTCTTCACCCTCTGGAAAAAAAGACTCTCGTAAAATCGATTCGTTGCACGGGTTCACCGAGACTCCAGACGACGTCTCCGTCGTCGCCTTCATCGTCGACGTCGTCGTCTTCGTCGTCTTCGTCGTCTTAGCGTCGCCGTTGTGTCGTCGTCGACGTCGATGTCGACGTCTTCCTCCCCTCTATCAGAAACTCAGTACGTGCTGCACGGGTGTTCTGCGTGCCTCTGAACAAAGTCTCGCATTGTCCCTCAGCTATCTTTCTTTCTCGCTTTTACTCCTTTGGATGCTGGGAATGGTTAAGTGATAATAATAACAGTACGAATTTTTGGAATAGTTTATAAGACTCGTATGGGAGAAGGGAAAAGAAAAAAGACAAGAAAATAAAAGAAAAGAGAAGAGAAAAGAGAAGAGAAAAGAAAAGAGAAAAGAAAAGAGAAAAGGGAAGAGAAAAGGGAAGATAAAAGGGAAAGAAAGAGAGAGAATCGTGAACGTGGGGAGAAGTAGTAGTAAGTCTCAAGAAGAGGAAAGAAAGAAAGAAAGCAAGAAAGCAAGATAAGAGAAGGAGAAGAAGAAGAAGAAGAAGAAGAAGAAGAAGAAGGAAAGAAGAAGAAGAAGAAGAAGAAGAAGAAGAAGGAAAGACTTGGTCTCTCTTCAACGCAAACGGTCGATGAGAATGCTCTCTCGGTGGGGGTGGGTGAGGAGGAACGTAGGGCAGCTCGAGGAGAAGGGGCTGGGGGCTGCTGTGTAGCGGGCGAGGAGGAGAGAGGAACAGGAAAGAAGACAGAGATAGAAAGAGATAGAGAGAGAGAGAGAGAGAGAGAGAGAGAGAGAGAGAGCAACTGAGAGAGATAAAGCAACGCGGCCAGAGGTGAGGAGTAAAGAGAGGAGGACCGGTGAGAAGCGGAAAGGGGGTTGTCGGGGAGAGAGAGGCAAGGCAAGTGAAGCCAAGTGAAGTGAAGTGGGGCCGCGGGACGGACGCGGTGGCATTGACCCCGTATAGTAAGTAAGGTAATGTGAACAGCTAGCGCTTCTCATCTCTTCTCTTTCTCCTTCTCCTTCTTCCTCTCCTTCTTCCTCTCCTCTTTCTCACTCACTTACACACGTATCTTTCTGTTTCTTTTTCTTTTTCTTTTTCTTTTTCTGTTTCTCCATTCCTCCTCTCCTTCTTAAAGGGTTCCCATCGGATATTGTTCGGTCGGTGGGTATAGGAGGGTGACCTCAGGGTGGACAGCGACCTCGAGAGAGCACCTTCTATCGCTCGATTCTAAAGTCGTCGTCGTCGTCGTCGTCGTCATCGTGATCGTAGTCCTCCACCTCTTCCATCTCGTTAAGTCATTGGTCTTTGTTGACGGTAAGCGAAGATCACGTAGTAGATACGTATGAGTGTATATTGTCGTTCATTAGCCATCGAACATTTAGCTGGATTTCATCTGGTGGCCTATGGGAAACCTTCATTTGGTTCGTCATACAAATTTAGATAAATCTAAAGAGAGAAGGAGAAAGAGAAAGAGTAAAAGTAGTATTGCTAATGGCGTGCAATATTAATTTCCGCGCGAAAGAGAGAAATCGTGCCGATGATAGGGAAGGAATGAAGGAATAGCTGAAGCGCGAGAGCATAGAAAACAGCGGTCGCCTTGAACGCACGCATTGTTATATCCTATCACCATTTATTACCAAACGCGTCGTTCTCCTTTCCATGGATTTACGCAAGCGATCGTCATCGTCAAACGCTAGAGTCTCTATGGAAATCAAAACATTATATGTCGTCTACTACACACCCTCTATACTATAATACCCTATTTATAATAAAGTAAACTCTATCTCTATTTCTCTTTCTTTGGATTTAGTAAGAACAGCAGAGAGAAACGAGAGGGTTCGAAAGAAAGAAGGATCACGTAGGAAGCAAGAGATTAAGTAAGAAAGTTTTGATCTCAACGGGCTGATACCTCACGTCCACATACGGAACAAAGATAGTCATAAGATTTTACCTTTATGACTCGTAATCCCACGACTCTCTTTTTAAACAGAAAGAAAGAGAGAGGTCAAAACTCGTACGTGTTACCTTCGAATATATGTACATTTATATACATATATATATATGAAGATATATACTTCTCGATGCTTCTACAAACGTTTCGTTACTTTTCAAGTTCAAATTGCCCGCCAGTGATCGGCCTTTGCCGATACTTTTCAAATGCACTTTCTTACTTCTAGGTAGGTATACTTATAGTGTGTATCACTGGTACTACGCGTTACTTGCTCTACGACCTGCGGTTTCTCTTTAAAGCTAAAGCTTCCACGCACGCATTGATGCTATGCGTAGTATATATGTACATACGTACGTACGTACGTAGCAATCCAATGCATTCCGATGCAGCGCACGATTTTGCATTTAGACCGTGGCTATTCGCATGTCCGCCGCCATCTTGCAGTTCACAGAGTTCACTCTTCTAACTCGTACAATCTCATTTTTAAATCTAACCAAGCGGATTTGTACAAATACCAATACGATCAATTAATCTACACTATAATAAATATAAGTATTCGTTAAAAAATAGTGGAAAAGTTTAATTGGTAGCACAAATTTCAAATGCAATAAGAATGATTGAAGAATTCACCACCAGGCGAGACCATGGCGCTTTCGTATCCAAGTGCAGTCACATAAGTGCAGTATTGTTGCCACATAAGACGCATCGTTATGTGACGCAGAATGCGTGGGCGGATATCATAATGTACGCTCTATATCTGATATATCTCGATCCAGCGGCCCTAACTGCGCCGTACTCAAAGTGCGCGCGCTTTTCTTCTTACGTATATGTCGGCGCAATACGATATGCCGCTTACGATGCGTTTGAAACGCGTCAACGTTGCCCGCGAACTTTCACTTTGTTTCTTTTCATTTTTCTCTACTTGAATCACGCGGTTTAACATATGTAAATACTTACATACGTAAATACTTGTAAATTTACGAATTAATTACAATACATGTAAAATAGGATATCAAGAAATAATATATCTATATAGAAAATATGGCGTCGTATTATTCTAACCTTCTCCAAAGAAACATTAAAGATAATAGTCGATAAATCTGAACGATTTGAATCTAACTTCTTCGTTGAGTGCATTTCCTATATAACCAATAATTAGTTTTCTCGGTGAAAGATGTAAAATTACTAAATAACCGTGCCGGTAAGAGGTTAAGTACGGTAAAGAAAGCTCCTATAAGCGTACTTACTTACTTACTTGCGCTCGCGAGTCGAACCGATTCGCGAATATGCCCGACTCTTACCGATCTTATTGGTGGTAGAAAGTCGGCAAGATCGTTTTAGGAGCGAACGGAACGACCAATGTATTCGAATAAGAAGGGATATATGTACATTTTCGAAGAATTGCTATTGCAGTTAAAATAGTTAGGCATGTAAGAAGAAATACGTAAGTATAACTTATAAATATACTCGTATATGCTCGTATGTACATATATATATATATATATATATATATATATATAGAGGTATGGATCGGTTTAGTCATAGTAGCAATCGCATACCAAGTGAAGAAAATTGAGACATCTCGCAAGGCCGCCGAGAACTCATAGTTAGAGCTTGGAAATTGAAAAAAGAATGGCAGCGATCGGGCCGCCCGCACCTGCGCGCGCGTAACACCACGACACGCGGATGTAGTCGCGCGCATTAGCGCGCACCGACTACTGCAACCTTCAAGATCGACGTGCCGTATTTGCTCTCGACGCGCTTCGGCTAATCTCGCGTTGCTCGAGGGCGAGCGTGCGCGAGCGCTCGCGCACGCTCACTTACGACCTCCTTTAACGTTACGCGCCAAGCCGGACGCGCTTCTATAGTATTTTGCCATTTTTTCTTCTTCTTCTTTTTTTCCTATTTTTCATTTCAATTCCTTCTTCTCTTTAATCGGCTGCTGCTGCTGCTGCTGCTGCTGCTGCTGCTACTGCTGTTGCAATAACAAAAACGACTGATGACAATTTTTGGCGTGTTTCTCTATTAGTCAAATTTCAACTCGATACGCAATATAAATAGAAAGCTGATATTACATAAGAAACTCTACATAGATGTATATCTAGATATTGCTACGTGCTTGGTATCAATCTCTTAACCTGTGGGAATGTTTCTTTTTTTTTTTTTCTTATCCCTCGGGAGTACATTTCTACATGATAGTAATTATTGATATTAGAATCTTAGTTTGGAAGGGAGAAAGCATGTTTGTAGTTGTTTAGCTGATTTGGAAGAATGTTTCAATGTTTTTATTCAAGAATGATATCACTCGATTAGGATGATCGTTATGGTATTCCTGCGTAGTACATAAGTGATCAAACGAGGTGTCACGTGGCAGCTCAGTATCGACTATATTCAAGCTGTTTCCTTCACGAGGATATCTCGACTACTCCACATGAGGTCATGGAATTTAATAACGGACGAGGTCGGAGAGCGAGCTTGAGCACGCGCGCGCATGATCGTGCGAGAGCTCGGTGACCAGACGAAGAGAAAGAGAGAGATATATATAGAAAGGAGGAGGAAGACGACAACAACGACGATGACGACGACGACGACGACGACGACGAAGAAGAACAACAACAAGAATAAGAAGAAGAAGAAGAAGAAGAAGAAGAATAAGAAGAAGAGGAATAAGAAGAAGAAGAAGAAGAAGAAGAGGTTGCGCTCATTCATAGGAATTTTACAGGTTGTCAGGCAGGTTTGACCGGCCTTTGTCATGGAGGTAACGCGGAGGAGAGGAGCTACGGAGTGAGAGATATCTGTCCGGGCACAGGAGGACGACGAATCACGGATGAATTTAGACACGGCATACCTGGAGACCACCATCGCACACAACAAAACCTAACCCGACAGAGTTTCACTCCTTTTGGATGTTTTCATGAAGACAAAGTTGCAACCAAGCAATATATAGAGTAGCTTTAGCTGACATTTATGTAAAAATATGCACAAACATTAAATCCAATGAAAAGAAAGTGAAATCGATTGGTACCCTAAATCCTTATTAATAGGTATTTAAAGTTATATCTTGGATTGCTATGTTAATGGACAATAGTAGTACTGTTTACCCTACATGTGCTAATACACGTTGTATGTACAGCACATTTAATACAATATGAGCAAGATATGCCATGCCGAGGCTCACGGAGGACTCGTGAACCGCCTCTTTTATCCGGGGCGCAATTGAGTCAACGGCCTTTCGAAAGAAGTAACGGTATACGATTATTACTCCTACCGAGTCCTATACTCACGAAACTCAACATTCGCGTGAGCGCGCGCGCGCACTTACCAGAAAAAGAGAAAGAGAGAGAGAGAACATTCATTCCGTGGTATGCTTTTATGGATGCAGAAAGAGAGAGAGAGAGAGAGCACAAACAGCACGGTGACAGATCGGCACCTTTAACAGAGTCTGCTCGCCAAGTGAAACGAAACGCTCTCTTGTTGTTGTCGTAATCTAGGACCACGGTGTCTACCATGTCTACAGTTGTGAAGTCTTTCCAGCTAAATTTATGTTTTCTGACAATACAAAGTCAATGGAAAAAACACTGTTAAATCCGTTATTGTTAAGTTGTCAGTTTGTAGAGGAAGGAGGAATTGGAGAACATAGGCTACGCTGTTACACAGCGATGACCGCGGAAGGCCGCGAAGGCGAGGGTTTACAGAGTGGGGGAAAATGTTCTTCAACTGGGTGGAAAAAAGAGAAATCGATGTCAAGATGGGGAGATCGATGTCCTATAAAGAAAATATCTGCGTTTCGACAAATTGAAATCCTCCTTCGACAGGATATTCAAATTCGGTTCGTTTTAGGTGGCTCGATGGTTGGGTAACCAGGTCGAGTTTTACAATGTCTCCTTGCTCTATTATTTGTGGATAATATGAATTGGAAAATCATTATTTTTCTTCGGACCAATTAGTTTTTAAAAAGACGATGCAAATTCTTTCTTATATTTCAGATGCATACATACCTACATCCTGCGAAAAACATTCTATAATGTTTTATCGATCGGATATAAGTGAAATGTCGAGGAAAATAAAAAGGTTAATTAGAAGAGTGCACTTTGATGTACTTAGGGGTATTCTCATCGTGGTCTTATTTCGATCACGTTACAACGTGAATGGAACAGCGCACTCTCATAAACCCTATTAATAAAAACGCATTTATCCCTTCGCCCTCGGTCGTTCTCCCGACCACTGAGAAGACGAAGAACGCATTCCAGCGTTCTGCAGTCCGCCAACGATCTGCATTCGCAGAAAAGGACGAAGAAGTCGTGGAAGCGAGCAAAACGAATTAGCATCCCGATCGTTCCGAGCGAACCGCCCCCTCTCTTTATCTTTGTTTTTTTCTTGCTCTTTTTCTTTTTCTTTTTCTTTTTCTTGTTCGTCCTTTCTGCTTCTCCAGAGTACTCGTAAGATATCTACTCTCGTACACGTTCTCGTACCTATACGTGAGAAACAAGAAACTTTGAGAGATAGTCTTTCTCTTTTTCTTCTACTCCCTTATACATACGTATATGCATGTATCGCAAACTAGTAAGACTCGTAGCAAAGAGGGGCAGGAGGAGGAGGAGGAGGAGGAGGAGGAGAGTTGTGACGATGGCATAAATCACTCAGGTTCTCGATGCCTGACGAACCCATCTCCATAGACGGTAATAATAACTCGAAGCTTAGCCAAGTTTGAAAGAAACGTGTGCTTGAGTTCAGGTATTCACAAATATATTTGTTTTTTGCCTTTTTCTTTTGGGTGGTTTTACGTTAGAGTTTAGTAGTGGTAAGTAAATCTGTATAGCGTATGTATAATAGTGTGGCGACTTGAAGTATTATTTACGGGTAAGGTGGCTCGTTAACCGGTGATCCGTTTCGTGATTTCTCGCTCATGACTCTTTCATCGCGAAGTGAAGTGTGTAGGTGGGCGCTCTCTCGCCTTGATAGAGGGGGTGGAATCTCGGACATGGCTGCCTACTGGTCGTTGCAGCGGTGACGGTGACGGTGACGGTGACGGTGACGGTGACGGTGACGACGGCTAATCCATCCGACACTATATCCCCGCCGTTCAGTGCGATGTTTGTTTGAGAAGCACTTTTAGCCGGATCATTGACTCCTTTTCAATCCGCACCAACAGTCGAGCCGAGAAGCCTATACCAACTTATACAGAGGATTACGAGTGGGACTTTTAAAAGAATTATTCGCGTTCTAAACACGAATCTCTCTACCACGCGAGATTCTCGTTTACAAAAGTTAGATTTTAACTTATCCAACAACCGATTTCTTCCAATAACTCTAATGTAAGAGCAAAGTCCAATTGCGAACGTATCTTTCAACGAATGACGACATCTAGTCTTAAGTCTAGAAGATAAAGTTATTCTTCTTTATTTACTCAAACTTTGCCATCTCTTTTGTATTTATTTTTTGATGGCAACATGCCCGAGATTATTTTCAATTCTTCTACAGCTTACTATTGGCTCATTCCAAAGGGGAGAGTCAACGCACTCTCGTTGATAAATCCGAGATGAACGTTCCATAATTTCGTGTAAAACTGAAAGTACTTGGGTTTTGTTTTGTTTTTTTCTTATTTCACATTAATAAAAAGGAATAAAAAAACAAAAAAAGGCAAGTAAAAGTTTGCGGCCAAAGTGTTGATCGTAGGTGGAAAGAGAAGAGAAGAGAAGAGAAGAGAAGAGAAGAGGGTAGGGGAAAACGATATCTGAATCGGTCGACCATGAGACGATCCCTGAATAACAGTCGCACATGGCGCGGCTTGTGGGATGATTCATGGTCGTTGAATCGACGCGACCTCGAGGAGATGCAGAGTGAAAATAATTTATCCGCGTTGTGACCGACGCTCCTTTGTCCGTTGGGAGCGGCATGGCGGTCTAATTCGATCGATACCTTCCTTCCCTCCTCTATATCTTTCTCTCTCTTGTTCTGTCTCTCTGACATCATATCCGTAACTTGTAGTGTAGTACACGCGACTATGCATACACAAACAGCCAACTTACTGTGTATACTGTACATGTAGAATATTTGTTGTGACTATGATTACAAAATCGGAAAATGATCGAAAAAAAGGGGCGTCGAGAGGGAGAAAGTTAGGTCTACAAGTAAGAGAAGATTTGGCGGTGGCTGGCATTGCCGCGTACCGGTCGATTTACGCGTTCGTTTGCAGGTATGCCAAGCATGTAAGGTCTCTAACGCTGAAACGCCGGTCGTTCGGACAAAACGAGTGGGAGGAAGGGCAGCCGCAGGTTGACGAGAGGCGAGAGAGGTGGGAGGAGCCCATGTAAGAGGGTGGAAAGAGGAAGGAATTGGATGGGAGTGAGTAGGTAGAAAGAGAGAGAGAGAGAAAAAGAGAAAAGGAATGAACTCACTTTACTCTCTTTCTCTTGAGAGGGAGTGCATTGCTTGCGCACACCTACACAGAAAAGGCCAACTACACACTGGACGAGGGAAGGCACACGGTTACGTAGCAGCTCGTTGCCTGACTGTCCCGACTCATGCCCTGCTGGCACGACACACTCTTTAAAACTCGACGTAGGAGATACGCCGAGTGTGTTGGAGAGAAAGAGAAAGACAAAACTAACCAGCAACGAGGACGGTGGGAAGGAAAGCGGAGAAAGAGAAAGAGAAAGAGAAAGAGAAAAAAAGACAGTAAGTGGGAAAGAAGGGGGAAGAAGAAAAAGAATGCATTTGGATTACTCGATAGAAAGAGAGAAAGAGTAGTAGTGTAGTAGTAGGTGGGCATGTTAAAAAACTTAGGGACCGGGTGGGAGTCCCCGAGACTGACCGGACAAGACGATGAGGAGGACGACGAACGAAAGAACCAACAGCGCAACTCTGCTTATATTATAGAACACACTATCGAGAAGATATAACCACTAGCGCCACGCTACGGTGGGAATTCGTTTCTCTCAACTCGCGCTAGTTACATGGGTTCATAGTCACCGATATTTACTAAATAAATCATTAATATAATTGTACATAATAATGAAATACTTAGCATAATACAGTACATAATAATTTGCATTATGAGATGATCCTCTCTCTCTGAAATTGTTTATTTTATATATTATATTTATTGTGTTAATAAAAATATCATCAAAATTGAGATTACGTTAAAGTATTTTGAACCCAACAAGATGTTCGAGCAATATTGAATCCTGCAAAATCATCGCCAACTAACGTGTGGTGTTTCTTTGATGAAGATGTGGTAGATGTATGAATAAGAACGAACGCATGTAAGCATTGACTTTCTGTATAGGTACGAAGATGAGCACGCACTAACGTATACTTATATACATTGTGTGCCTTTTTGCTTCTGAAAATCGCGTGCAAAGCGGCAAGGAGGAGACGGCGGCAGGTGGACGCGAGCACACAACACGGTGTGGACGAACGGAGAAGGGAAAATAATGTGTTCCGGGGGATATATACATACAGATATATCGCGCATGTGAAATTCCTTTTGCTTTCTCTCGATTGCCAAGCGAAGCGGCTTTAGGAGAAAGACGAGGAGGAAAACGAGGAGAAAAATGAGAAGGAAGAGGAGGACGATGTCTTTCGTGCGTTACCGATCATTTTTTGTCATTTTTTGTCATTTTTTGTCATTTGATTTAGAAAGCACACGAACAGTAAGTGCTCCAGTTCCATTAGGCTGATCCAAAAGGTGCGCGCTTTCATTCCTACTCGATCTCATAAGAGATGGAAATAAAGAAAGTATAACGGAGCAACTATCAATACGAATTTAAGTTTGCTGAAAATAGCAAAAAGAAAGAGAGAAAGTGTGTGTACGGCAACACCAAGGTAATAGGTGGGTTTAAGGAACATTTAGACGGCGTAGTGCACGCTGAGATTCGTGGCCGTTCGGCGATCGTTGACACGGGGGCTCCGAGAGGAGCACTCGACTGCATTATCGCGGCCGTGCGAACAGGTAACAACCTCGGCGATCTCTCTCTTTCTAGCCCTCTCCTGGCGACCACCACCACCACCTCCACCATACGTAGCATCCCTTTACTCTCCCTGCCCCACTCTTTTACTACTTGGCAGTGTGTGCGCGCTCTCGTGCGTTGAGCGCGAACGAGGGGCTATTTTCTTATGCCGGACCCATCTTCACGCGCTCGGCAAACAAATACCCGACAAAACGGTCCCTCGCGGCACGAGCTCTCTCGTGCTTGCGCTCGTGCTCGCCCAACCTCCTAACAACCAAGCGAACATCGATGTCGTTTACCGATTAGAGACAAAAAAAGAGAGAGAGAGAGAGAGAGAGAGAGAGGGGGAAGAAAGACTTGGCCATATCGTTTTCATTTGTTTATTTGAAATCTAATCGGTTCGATAATTCCTTCGTAGAATATACTTTCGTGGGAGATACTCGCGTTCTATACTCGGCTAACTCGACCGTTATTTATTTACCGTACTTTATTCACTCGTTCACTGATCTATTTTCTTTCTCGAGTGAGCCTTACGGTTTAATCAAATGACTGTCAGTAGTGACACAGTTATGCCAATCTAGGGGAAAATGTTATTAGTCATTTTTAAGATTTTCTCTCGAGTACTTCTTCAAAGTTAAGATCCAAACCTAACTGACTCTTCAAACATATAGTTTACTTAACAGACAAATACTTTTCTACGATCCCCATATCAGCTTTTGGCACGCAGCAATGTTAAAACAGCATCACATTGATTCGAAAGTTTACCGCTTTCGCCGAGCACGAATGAAAGTATGGCTTGGTTCTAATGCATTTCAAAGAAAAATGGACGATCTCACGTGACGGTCTAGACGAGCGCGTTTCCACGAAAAGGCTCGATATCGTTACACGCAACGGCTATTGGAAATCTTAACCTATTAACGTTTTGATTGATATGAAGAAGAAAAAGGAAAGAAAGAGAATAGAAAAATCGAAGGACCATAAAACTATCGAAAGTATCTAACCGCGTTATTTAAGTTTGGATTTCTTTGAACAACAATTTCAAAAGCTTAGTATACGTGTCAAAGATAATGATGAGATACCAGAAAGAATTCGATAACGTTAAAAAGGTACAAGGAGGTTAAGCGGCAAGTTAAACGGATCGATCTAGAAGCTTCCTTCCGTTCAAATTCCCCGGGCGTCGTCCTTTCACGCGGCTCTACAACACCGGCCGAGCCAGTCGTCGTTGTCGTCGTCGTCGTCGCTGTCATCGGTCCAATGGCAGAGTTCTCACTCGGGGGAGAGAGGAAGAGAAAGAATAGATTCTCCCAATCGGTTAAGGGCGGTCAGAGTAGAGAGGTGGAGGTATCGCGTGGCACGGGCCACGACGAACTACACAACGACGACGACGACGACGACGACGACAACAACACCAAGTGGAGGAGGGCGTCGAAACCGGAAGTGGTCCATCGAGAATGGGAGTTGCCTTGACAACCACGATCTGCTTTAACTCCCGTTCGATCATAACGCCACCGTCACCGCCATCGTCACCGCCACCGTCATCACCACCGCCGCCGTCGTCATCGTCGTCTCTCTTCGCGTCATTTGAAAGCAGTCTATTATTTGGGGTCGCTGCATCCTCCTGTGCAAGACTCTGTATTGCTTTTTCTCTCTTTCTCTGTACGCATGACTACGTGCGTGTGTCTGTGGCACAGAGTCGCAGGTGACACGCACGGACGCACGCACGACGCACGCACGCACGCACGCACGCACGACGCACGCACGCACGCGCGCGCCACTACAGAGCACGAAATACAACTCTCTCTCTCTCACAGCTGTGCCGATCCCTAACGATTCTTCCCGATCTACCTCGAACCTCACCGAATATTTCTGTTCGAACGCGTCTGCTCGTGCCACTGGACGCGTCCATCGCTCGAGGACAGAACAGGATTGTTTGCGCGTCATCGAATTAAACTGATATCATTTAATGTAAATAAACATTTAAAAGATGATTGATTGCCCAACGAATATGCCTAAATTAATCATTCCTCTGTTATTAGTCGCTGTCTGATAATTGTATATAAACATATCACTTAGTTTTCAAATGAATACAGTATCTACAAATGATATCACATTGAATTATTTCATCGAATAAGAAAGCCTGGCCGACATTTTCTACGTACTTATTTTGCCAGGATCGCGAGGCTCACACGATCGATACGCCTTTCCGCGAGGAAGTACGATTTGCTCGGCATTAAAGTGCCAACCTTACGGTGTTTGTTCGTTGCGCCAAGATTTCTCGAGATGCATCCTATCGCGCACGCGCCAGTATTGGATCAATGGCATGAGGGACCCTTTTCATTCATTCGTCTATTCGAGATCCTTTAGCGTCAGTTTAAGACAGTACATTACATGGTTATTATAATTTAGCAAAAATCTAATGATTATCAAAAGACCAAGTTATCCGATTATCTTCCTACATGATCATTATTCTTCTTCTTATGTTTTATATACCCACGTCAGTAATATCATAATCATTGCAAAATGTACATTTCCCTTAGATTCTTAGAATGACATCATAATGTAAATGTTGGTTTAAGAAAAGTACAAATTTGAGTGGAAGAGAGGGATGATAAATTGTTGTTTATGGAAGGGCAACCGAAATGTATTCATCCGTCATTGGCCGTGCTCCGTACACGCTATGTATTGTGCGCGATGTGTGGGTCGCGTTGCGCGTTGTGTTGTAGGAATGCTGTCGGCAGCCAGCAGCAGGGTCGCCCACTGTTACTCGCCGGGACTCGCTTTTGCTTGCCCCTCTGTCCTTCCTCTCAACGCTGGCGGCTCGCTCGCTCGCTCACTCGTTCATTCGTTCGTTCGTTCGTTCGTTCATTCGCTCCTTCATTCGCTCCTTCATTCGCTCCTTCATTCGCTCGATTCCGTTTTAAAACTATATTGGCGTGCCCCCTTTGTACTTACTCTTCAAGTAGGCGCGAGTATATGCGTGTACATATGCGTGTACATATGACTAGTGTCATGACTAAAGCTTGTGCGAGCGAGCGCGACGCATACGTACATATATCGTATTACATATTTGCCGCCACCAATACCACCACCACCACCACCACCACCACCACTACGGGAGGAAGAGCAAGAGGACGCATTGCGGTGTTGCTCGCTCCGTTACGCTGACTTTCTCGAGAGAGTGTGCGCGCGCGGGCGCACTCTTTCCTTCGAGTTTTAAGAAATTCGATCTCTTTACAGACTGTCCTTTGTTTTTCCACAGTTTACCTCTATGACGAAATGAGCTAAGTAACTAACTTCTCTATCCACAAAGTATTCCATTTTCAAAAACATATCTCATGATACTTTTATTAGCAAAGTGATCAATTTGTCTCTTCTCTCCCTAACGTATTCAAAACAAAGATTAGTGTCAAAGACTTTTCTTGGAGACCGTTTTGAAAGTATGCCTAGGGAGAAAGAGAAAAAGAGAGATGAAAGAGCTGAAAAGGTAGTCCTTCGTTTTTGGATTAAGGCCCTTCTTCCTACCGTCTCTCTTTCATTTTGTCCCACTCACACCATCGAGTTCCTTCCACGAAACTCATCACCGTTCAACAGACTTTATCTCCCTTGTTTGCCTTTTCTTTCGACCGTTTTCTCTCTCTCCCACGCGTCCGCCATCTTTCTTTCTTTCTTTCTTTCTTTCTTTTTTTTTTTTATTTTTTATTTTTCTCTTTGGTAGGAGCTTTTGCCGAACGGCGATGTGCCTTACGGGGTCGGGCCAGGACGCAACCCGAACGAGATGAAACCTACAAGGATGGGCCCCGTCTGTCTGGCGCACAGAGAACGCACAGTTTTTGGTCTTGTTCCTCGTTTTCAGCGGCCTGGGCCGTACGCCTCTCGATAATCGCTCGAGTCCTACCAAGTCCCGATCCCGACAACTACCCGAGTCTACCACCTGCCGCATCCAAGCGGAAACCTTCTCTCTCTCTCTCTCTCTCTTTGCTGCTCTTCTTCTTTTTTCTCTTTTTTTCATCTCCTTTCTTTCGAGAGTTCGATTCGACCTACCAAAATAAAAAATCATTCTAGCCAAGAGATGCATGTTTCTTTCTTTCGATCTCTTTTTAACCAAGTTCACCTTGCGATATACATATGAGCTAAGTCATAACTCATTTTATCGCTATGGTGAAAATGTAGAATTGAAACTGTAGAATCAAAGTAAAAGAAGGCAGGGTCTGAGTGCGAAAGTCAACGCACCGAATAACGGAACGTTACGAGAAAGAGCAACCCAGACACTCGTCTTCGTTCTCGTCCTCCACCTCCTCGATTTGTCTGGAGAATGCTGAATATAAAGTGTGTTACGTAGAGTCAGTGACAGCCGTCAACACGGTAGTGGTACATATCGGTTTCTAATTATTTCTCAAAGATATACTCGCATGTCGTATTGGGTCGAGGTGCCGCTATGGCGTCTGTCTCTTCTTCTCTCTTTCTCAGAGTCGACACGGATTTCCAAGATCTACTCTTATCCACCTCCTCTGGTACGTACCTACGAGATGTATGTTTGTGCGCACCCTGCTCCACCGTCTCTACCTCATACATTTTAAATATATACATATCATACATCTCTTTCTTACTCAGTGCGCTCGCAACTTGCAATTTGTGCGCCCGCGACAAATTACGACACAGTGCAAAGGAGAAACACCTACTACATTACATGCGCGTCCTCGTTAAATTTCGACATCCTCTCCGTGAGCCTTCCCTTTTTTTTTCGAAAACTATTTGACACTACAATATCCCAAAGTAGTATGCAATCTAGTATAATGGTGTAAACCCGAAGAAAACACGCCAATACTTCAAGGGATTCCCCAGAGTATGGGTAATTAATTTACATCGATGATAACTTCTGTATAACGTAATGTCAAAGAAAGAGAGAATGAAGAGAAAGACAAGAAGTCGCATTCGAATATATAGAGTGTCATTGGTCGAATCAAGCGAATTCGTGAGCCGAGAATTTATCTATCTGGAGAGCGTATCGGGCTTTCAAAAGTCACTCCAGCACCAATTCCAAAGGTAGATTGGAATTCGTTTGTACGATAAATCCAATCCGTGGAGTCACATAAACGTCGGCCGCGGTGTAACGCGCGTGATCGATGGGTCCCGCCGATAGCGGATGTGACATAAATCGAGTCTACTTTATTTAAACGCCACACGCAAATATAAAGCCAGCGCAAACTATCTTTCTCTCGTATACTATTGCCGCCACCACGAGAATTTTGTTTTAGCGCCACATTTGCGCGCCCTGTCCGCGGTGATCCTAAATAATCGGAACCGTCCTTACCGACCGAGTTGAGCACAAAATCAGCGTGAAGTATCTCCCATTGGTTGAACCGAGAGGAGAGGGAATTTGTATTACAATGCAAGACGCGCGCGGTCACAGTTCGAGCGGGAGAGAATGCACCATCTCCCGAAGCTAATAAACTAGACTGCCTCATCATTCAGAACGTTATAATATAGAGGCGTAGGTGTTTTCAGTTTCTTTCTTTCTTCTTCTTCACCATTAAACATCGACGATACACACGAGTATCGCGACAATACATTTATACTCTTCTTATTTCTTTAGCATTTGACCTATTAAATGTGTTGCGTTTAAGCTACTAATACAAGTTTTAGCGCTTTGACAATATAGAGATGAAAGACAAAATGTATTAAAAGAAAATATTCTACCAAGACCCTAACCCAGACGAAGATAGAGAAAGCAGAGATGGAGAAGGCGAGAGATGCAGAAAGTAAGTGAGCAAGAGAGAGAGAGAGAGAGGGTGAGAGAATGGATCAATACCGTGCGATACACGCCGAAGTAATTTCATTGTCCACTGTTAGCGGAGGTTCACGTGTCGCGTGGCACGGCATGGCGTGGCGTGCGCTCTTCTCCCTTCACCCACCCACCCTCTCTCTCTTCCCTACCCTCAACACCCTTGTTTCTCCATATCTTTCTCTCTCTCTCTCTCTCTCTCTTTCTGCGCCTCCACAAGGGAAAATAGAACCCTTATGGCACGAGTGATAGCCGTACCTCTCTACTCGGGGTATTGATCACCCTCTGCAATCAATGTTAACACTAGTGTTTGCAGATGGTGAAATCGATTATCTAGATAACGTTCAGATAACTGCGAGTCTTGGCTAAACCTATGTATCTCAACTACGTTGTGTCGTTCGTAAACCTTGTCGTCGTTGATGGAACACTGCGGGTGATTGAAATACCGGAAGTTATTACATTAGAGTATACAGTCGACTGCGATACCGCCTTTCCTTAAACTTTCATCCTAAGTATAGAGAGACAATGCGTCATAGTGAAAGGATAAAGAACGCTTCGATTCGGAGACGCTTGACAAGTGGATCCACGCGGGTAGTGAGCCGCGAAATACGAACTCCCACTTTGTTTCCTTGAGAACGTTTAGCTCGGTTAGGTTCTCTTCTAGATAAGGAGAACTCCAACTCTCACGGACGGATCTTTCACTCTCCTTGGACATTTAGAGCGTTAACTTTCTCTCCCATCGCTACCGTCTTTTTATTATTTCTTCCATCGATTCTTCATTACATTTAACTAGTTTGTAACTATTTAATAGTTACATGGATTATGAAATTATACTATTTCAATTGATTAAACAGATAAAAAGGATTGTGGCTTTCCTAGGATTATTTACAAATGCAAATGCTCAAGCTAAGATAAATTAAAAACACTTTGACAATGTTTTCTCTTTCCTAAGATAAAAGGTTCGAGGATTAAAGAATGTTGTGTTGCGTATCACGAAGCTTCGGTGACCACCAGCGACGTGATGGTAGCCGTGGCGAGGCTGCCAACCAAGAAAAGGCAATACAACACAACACAACACAACACAACGGAACGGAACGGAACGGAACGGAACGGAACAAATAAGAAGACAGGAAGATCGGTGTTCTCACGTTCATGCAACCAAGCAATATATGTATGTATGTATGCATCCATGTATTAACACGGGTA